TGGGGTGTCGCAGCCATTGCGGCATTCTCCAATGGCTCAACGCCTTCGAGGGCGACTGAGAGAATCATTGGCTGTTCGAGTTTTGTGTAGGAAATCATACCATGGACCTTGAAATGTCCTATTTGACTATAGAAAATGACAAAGGGAACTAAAAAACCATGAGAGAATTATGGCTGGAAATATTTGACAAACATATAGACTGTGCACTTGGCACAGGGAGCGCATAAATTTGGTATCAAAGTTTGCTTGCAGCACGAGGAAACCACAGTCCGAAACAGGGTCAACCGTCACGTTGACAATTTCAAAAAAATTCTACGACCCCCCTCCCTTTACTGGAGGACCTCACACGGACCCCCCTCCCCAGCTATCACCGGTAATTGTTTCTGAGAGATCCTGAGTCCAGTTGACACAGCCCAACCCCACCCCCACATTTCCTCCAAAACAGCCGTCGAGCGGGATGGAGGAGCATATATTACCAACGAAGAAACGGCAAACGGATTTTCTCAGCACTCTAAAGCGTAGAGCGTCACACTACGCCCCCCCCCCATTGATGTAGGATTAAGGATAGCTCCGACCATACCAATGACGGACCGCCCCCCACCCTTTCGTCGGCCGAATACGATTCCCTCGTTGGACTTTGTTCAATGGATGGTTGACCCTGGTTCAAAATGAAACACGATGAAACTCTTCAAGTTCACTCCGCATGCTATCAAAGGAATAGCTGTAAAATCGTTAGTTACAGTGTTGACTCTATGTAACGAATTGCAGATCTTGTGGAGGTTCCGGCTACGCTTCGTCTTCAGAACGTGGCATGTTATATACTGTTACTTACTGTACTATTACTTGGTTCTCATGGTGTCATGCCAGTGCTTCGAGTCTATTCCTGAGCCTCAAACAGCTAATTCGTCTGACATCATAGAGGATGCTATGGAGTGAACCTTGCGCATCAAGACAATCTATAATATAAAACCTGGTTGCATTGGATCCCCTTACTCACTAGTTACTCCTACAGCTTACATATCGAAAATTGTTGCAAAAAACACAGCAGTCTTGGAACAAAAAATAGCTATTGGTCCAGGAGTGAATTAAAGACACGTGTATTCAGAGTTTGTAGACATTATAGAAAGACGTAAGCAAACCAGCCCTTTTGGCGCTTCGGCTGGGACCGTATGCTGAATGTTGGGGAGGGGATGGAGTCCCCGACGGTGGACGGACCACTTCAACTCGGTCCTTAGAACCGCCACAATTTGGTGCTTACCTCAGAACTAAGCCTTAAAGAGAGGACGGGTCCGTCCCCTCTCCAAGGCTTAGTCCTGGGGTGAGCAAACCAGCCCTTCTGGCGGAGCTGCTGGACCAGCTGCACCACTTGCGTCAGTACTCTCCTATCGTACCAACCGAGTTGAAGTAAACCGTCGACCGTTGGGGACCCCATCCCCTCCCCAACATTCAGCATACGGTCCCAGCCGAAACGCCAAAAGGGCTGGTTTGCTTACCTCTTCTATGAAACGGATGTCTGAATGGGGGCTTAGCATGGAAATCATTTCCAAGGTCACTGAACAAAGCATGGGCCAAAATTCGCCATTATGCTAGATTCGCGTGCAGTCATCGAAGCGCACTCGATGATTCCATGATTTGTAGCACGTGCTTCGTTCCGTGTTTTGGCTGTCGTGAATTCGAACCTCTTGCAGGTTATGACGACAAAAAAAACGAACTAGCAGAATTCTAGACTAAACTGCCCTTCATTAGTCAAAAATCAGTAGCATTCGATACTATATGGTTAGTATTCTCTACGCGGAAATGATCAGTATCCTGTAAATGGTAATACATGACCATAACAGCATTAGTAATCAGGGTCAGCCGTGTCTTCTTCCACTTCCAGAAATTTGACGACCCCTATTATAGAGGTTGAGGGCGACCCCTAACCACCACTGTTGGCCTCAAGGGAGTCCCCGATACGACGACTCCTATATCTCAATCCCGACACTATTTTCACCATCATGGCTGCTTCTATAGTACCAGTCGACGTGCTTCAACTCTTGCCTGCGATTTCCTTGAAAACGACACGACACTCGAGCGGGACGAGTGGGGGGGGGGGGGGAGCGGCGGAGGGCAAGGGAGAGGGAGGGTACTTTTGCGCTGTGGAGCAGCCAATACTCTAATTTTGATCACTTCATGCTCACATCATTCTCGTCTAAAATGACCACCTCTACAGTTACCACGACCCTTTCAAGTTCCAGAACACGACCCGCCTTCCAACCTTTTGCCCTTCATCAACCAGAAAATACTAAAATATGACCGTTCTCAAAAAAAGTATAAGCCTCGTTGAGAGCGCGCAACGCACTGATGACCATGATGAAAATCATTTTCCGGAATCTCTTCATCAAAGGACTTAATAGCTTGTGGGGGTACATTTTGAACACTAGGTGAAATATGAAAACGAAAAACAACGGAAAAACATTTTGGAAGCACAGGAACTGTATAGCAGCTTGAGGGCCTTAGCGAATGCACTCCATACGATATGCCCAAAACTAAGGGTTATATCGAGAGCTATTACATAAAGTGAGCTGAATGGTAATAACGGCCTTCGCTGCGAAAACCGGTTGCATCATGCCTTGAAAGTATAAACTTCACAGATAAGTATCGATACCTAACAATTACACTAATTCGCTCACTGACGGTATAAATATAACTTTACCCTTCCATAAAAGGAAGCCTGAATATGTAAAAAAAATTAAACATAAAGACGTACACGAGAATGCCTTCAAGACAATAAAGGAATTCGAAGAACTCTATTTCGAAACGGTGGCAATATAGCATATCAGAAACTTCCAAACTGGCAGGACAGCGCTGAATTTTTCCAATTTATGAAGGGATCAGCAGTTCAAGGCCATATCTGAAGCTTACAGGGCTACATCTTAGTTGAATCCATCTTGGTCTACCCCTTTCTATTTGCTTGGTTCCTGGAAACTCAATACTGTACGAAAAACTCAATCTGGACATGGGTAGCTTGGGTGCAATTGTGGCAACAGCCAAGACCCGTCCTTGGATACCTTGGATAGAGGGACGTAATCTAATACCTCATTATTTATGTGCAATGTATTGATATGGCTCCTATCCTGCCTCCCTTCTAATTCTTTTGCGTTCGCGAGATATTGTGTGAAAGATCAGATAAAGTGGTCCCAAGTCACAACAAATCACCAAAAGGAAGATTGTCTGAAAACGGAAATGAAGATTGTTAGTAGGAAAATCATCGGAAATGCCCGTAAGGATTAGGCAAGTTATAGGCAGATGGCCGATCTGTGACCCAACTGAAAATTGCTATATTTTAAGAAAGGGCTGATCGAAAAGAGTCAGACTTTTTGGAAAGCTATGCATGATATTAGTGGGTCGAGAAAATGAAAAGTATATGGTAATAGCGGAAAGAAGCAAAATGAAGAAAGGTACGAAATAATTTGTGAGTAATGGTTGTGCTAGCAAACTGGAGGTGGACCGTCAAATTAGTAGTTTTTAATGGTCCCAAGGTCACGGAGAGTCACATGCCCATGCTTACGACCGTTTTTGTTCTCCTTGACATGGGAGGGCGATGACAGCCGACCATAGAAGGTGATGGGCCTCCAATGATGCTCATCAACCGTTTCATGGGGAAGTTTCGATTGATTGTTCTTCGAACGATCCCTTCGAAAGGCACACAGATCGAACACTTTTGCAATAGGTGGTATTTTTTCACGGTAATCGGCTTATTCTGGTTTTTCGAATAATGTGTTTTGCCATAAAGGGGTACAGTTCATAAAAGCTTTCATTCATCACAGGAAGACGGGGAAAGTAGTTTTCTTCTCCACCCGTCTCCCTCCAATTAGTCACACTTTGCTAAATCTAAACGGGTGTTTTCACCATTTTATTGAGTCCATTTCCGAACTATTACTTGTCTTCATAACAGCTTTCCATACGAAGGGAATCGTTTCCTTTTAAAAACTCCAGCGTGATATGGGCAAAAAAACTTTTTGTGACCCAAATAGGTTCACTTGATAAGAATTTTCCAAACGTCCATTGCAAATTTCAATTTTCGAGACAAGCGCCAGCTGACTCTTGGGGTTACACTTATGACAGCAGACAACGGGTCTAGCGTTCATAATCCGATTAGAAGAAAAAGTTTAAAAAAGGGGAATCGAGGACCGTCTTACAAAGGAGGTCTTTAAGAATGTGGAACCCTCCAAAATGGGTTCTTCCTAATTTCATACAAGAACTCACGTGCGGGCCGCAAAACAGAGGCTCCTTCTCGCTGAGCGACCCGTGAATGTCAGAAAGTGGTGGGAAAAATGGTTTAGGGTTCAATTCCTCATGATGACAAAATTTTTGCATATAAGTAAAACTTTCAAATTCCTTCCAAATAGCATCGTGCGCGAATATTGGTTGCCATGTCACCTCTAGGACCGGCGGGTCCCTTGCCAAATTCCATACATCACTCCAATCGCTGCAAAATCACTACACTGCCAAGCATATTTTTCCGCGACGTTTTTTTTAACCTTTGGACGCTGCTACCCCTCGAAAATCAAACACAGCTTTGCAGCCCACATGAGATCCCCTGCGAATCCAGAAACTGCTTTGGAAAAAAGCACTCACACCCTGAGATTTTCCTTCAGACAGTTCTCTAGGGAAAACCATCATTTCAAGGTATTTGGAAATGTTTCTGCATTAAAGTCGTTCGCTGGGTTCTTCAAAAAGAGTGGCAGAAAAGTCGCCTGTTGCGATTGCTAGATCACATTTAAAAATTTTCTGAGGGTCACTGGAGGAAGGAACAGGTTTTTTGGGAGTTTAAAAATATACAAAAAATTCGAACTTGTAAAAGCTTCTGAAATTTCCCAACCGTTCGCTGGCTACATCGTTGACCTTCGGAGGTCAAGTTTTGAAGTGTGTCAAGATGAACGCAGTCCAAACCAGGTGGTAGCAATCATTGACCAATTTGAAGGAGCAGGAGGGGCGGGATGGTGTATGCCTTTAGAATGATGTTGTCTAGTACCTATGTTCGTATATGTTGGGATCCCCCATAAAGCCCACATCATTTCGGGTTTACACGCAGTGTCAAAAAGTTGAATCATGACTGGTCGTCAAGGTGGTAAAGCTAAGCCTCTGAAGCAACCCAAAGCTGCCAAGAAGGAAGAAGACGAGCAAGACATTGAGTTCAAGAAGAGACAGCAAGAGGAGAAGAAAAAGCCGGCTGAAATAGCCACCAAAGTCTGCTTCCAAAAAGCGCCGCTAGTGCAAGGAGGCATAAAGAAATCAGGAAAGAAGTGATGCGACTCCAACTATTGCCATTCGATTTATTCACCCATCAGCGTTTTTTCCGTTCTTTCCTATGTATGGCACATAAATGTTCATTTCATCTAGTTGAAAATGGTAGCTTTTTAGATTTAGCCTTTTCACAGTAAAAAAAACAGTAAAAAAACAAGTTTAATAGTTTGGCTGAAAAAAAAGAAACTGATTCTATAATAGCAGCCGAGCGTAGCTTGGAATTGCAGCTCTGAACCTTAGCACGCCCTCTTCAAAGTTGTAAAGGAGCCGGTCTTGCGTTTTGAAGGGAAAGATGAGTGACACAGAACAGAGGTTGTTTCAATAAAAATGCGAGCAAAAAACATTTCTGTTGAGATTGGTGGCAAACAGAGGTGTCTCAGTCAACACGTCCGCTTTCTAGGTGAAGAAAACATTGAGCTGTGTTCATAAGTGATCTTCACGAATATCTGCAGCGAGAATTTGGGTATCCCTAAAATATTGTATAACACAGAGAGGCACCAAAATTTTATTTCAAAAGAATTCCAAAAGTTCAGAAAGTTCAAAAATTCCAAAAACTCAAAAGTTTCAAAAGAGCAAAAAGCTATTTGAAAAAGAATCCTTTTGAAATCCTCCGCGATATTTCGGTGTTTAACACCTTCTTCAGGCATGTGTTTGCCACCGCCAAGTGTAAAGCTGCCCTTACGGGAGCCGCGCCTTTGGAGTGAAGGGAAATCCTTATAATATTCCTTAATCCTTATAATATTCTCTATGTTATCTCTTGTTAGAACCTTGGCATTACTGGTCTAACAGGCGTGAGCTAATCCCGCAGGCACTGAACCATTGTGAGCTCTTTATCGTATATGGGTACTCCAAAAATGTTTTCTTCCCACGACCCTGGAAAATACGAAAGAGGGTAAGTGCCTATTGGGTAGCGATAAGTCTAAAACGCTCCGAGCTATCTTAGACTTCTGAAGAAGATGAAAAGGTTGAACGTCAGGTCACTATTAGTAAAAGCTCCAACAATCAAGCTTCAGCGCAACACGAAGAAACCAATCAAATCCATTATTTGTGTCTTCGAGAGTAATAACTATTCATTGAGGTATCGGTGAGTAAGAGTAAATCTTGGCTTGTACCAAAATTATACGCAAAGTTTCCTCAGAGTTCTGGGCAGCGAAGGAATGGGTGGTGCACTACGGCAACACTATGCATGTAGGGGTCAGTATTCTTATCACTAATGAAAGGTAGGGTAGGAATTTACCAAGCAGAAGTGTAGGTTTAGATCCCTACAGGTGCATGAAGACAATTGAAAGACTCCTGGTTTGTTGTGCTTAACAATTTCTATAAGAGAATTTTCATCCACTTATCTAAGGCGCGTTCCACGAGCACAAAATGTTGTTACCTCTCTCGAAAGTGCAAGAGTAGGCGACAAGTGGGCTACCAGAAAAGAGAAGAAAGAAACGGGTAAAGGGTAAGATAGGGGCTTCTCTTGAGGTGGGCAAGAGAGAGATCATATAAAACTGATAGCTGAAGCCGACAATTTATCTTTACGGTGCCGAAACAAGAAACCACCTGCCGAGACCAATGCGACCAAGAGCACACCGAACTAGTGAGCCGCAAGGCAGCAACTTACTTTCCAATTTACCCCTACGACTCCAATCCAAGGTTAAGTAGCCAAATCGTAAATCTGAGTCAAACAGTGAAAACTGTTCGCTCCTTCCACGTTCTGAGGTTGTGGAATCATCACTCCTCACAACCAGGTAAATCTGCCTGGTTAGGTCCTGGAGTGTGCCTTGGGTATTGAAATGACCCAAAATTGCACCACCATCAAGGATGAAAAAGCGTAGGGATAACCTTTGAGATGTTTTCCCAAACACATGCTAAACCCACTAAGGCAGAAAATGGGATCGCAAGGACTGCAGCCCCTCAAGAACCAGTGACTGCGTTTCGGTGAGAAGACTCGCACTCGTCGTTGTGTATCTTTTACGCAAATGTAAGCGGGCCTCACCATATATCAGCATTTCCTCACAGAAATGTTGTAGAAAAGACAGTGAGATACATTTTATGACAGTTACTACAGCTTTAAAGCGAAGTGCGTGTACTTGACAAGTGCACGCGCTTCCCACGTGCGCGTCCAGGGATCAAATCCTGGTTGGTGAGGCCTCACCGGCAAACGCAATGCTTCCACTGCAACATGTGAACGAAGAGAACGTAAAGCCCAACAAGTTGAAACTCAGCCCGAGAGCTACCTTTCCTTTCGAAAATGAGGAGAGTCGTCGGGTGCAGACCATACACCACAAGTGACGACGGCCTCCAAGTAAATCTGGTTAGTAGTGGTTCATGGTGATAGCTGATTTTTAGTAAATGATAGGTATAATTAATCACAACTGATGGAATACAGCTGCAACAGGTTAATCATTTCCATGGCAGAAAAATTCACATTTTGTGGAGGCCGTCGTCATTTGTGGAGTATGGTCCGCACCCGACGCTTTTCGCATTATTTGGAAGGAGCATATCTTCTTCAATTTACCGAGGCGCAATAACGTCTCAGAACGCGTTCTTACATCTTGAACTTTACAATCTTAATAATTAATATATACATATTATTATTATTGTTATCTTTCTATACGACTATGATAATATTGTATTATAATGAATATATAAATCAAACCCTGGTGTGGCTGGCGGGGCATGCGTTTCATATTCTATCCCAACAATGTTCTAGCGAAAAAGAAAAACAAATTTATGTGAAATCTAAGGCGACTCATTTCAAAGCAATACATGGCAACCTTCCAAACCAAAAACTATGAAAGAATCTCTTGCCTACTACTCGACAATTTTCCCAAACAGGAACTAGCGATTCTTATCCGACAATCCATCTGTGACAGTTAGTCGTCATGTTGTCGTTGATAACCCCCCGTGATGCTGTGTAATGCTCCTTCCTTCTAACGAACCTGACTCAAATCAAATCACCTTGATGTGCCAGTCCTCACCTCTTCTCACTTTCTCCAAACGTGTAGTGATGTGGTGAGCGAATCCTTTGACAAGTTCGTAAATTTCCTCACATTTCCATCTCATACTGTGTTTTGACAGGCTTCGGCATAAACTCTCTGCGTTGCAAGCTCGGTCTGCTTGTTTTCAAGTACCCGTGTCGTCAACAGTCCCCGATACCAACCAGATGGGCTCCTCCGAATGTTCGTAATGACCCCCAGTTTCTGCTCACTGTTACAGGGAATGATGAATATCATTATTATCAAAGAGGTGTCGTATGCAAGCATGAGCGCATGGCGTTCTATCGCGAGGAAGGCCGTTAGCAACACCGAACCACATTTCATAGGATAAAAGGATAAAGCATTTGCCGTTGATCAATCCCTTTTTGGGATGCGGCACGCATTCTACTTCCATTTGTACATTCGTAGTGGCGTTTGAATGCGATGTGGCCTATACAATGACTTGCGGGGGCCAGCCGATGTACAAGTCAGTGTTTTTATCCTCCCAGACAAGTCTGGTACCAATTAACCGACCCCGGAGGGATGGAAGGCTTGGTTGGCCCGGGCGACTCACGACCCAGGATTTGATCCCCGGACCGCTCGCGTGGTAAGCGTGCCACTTGCCACTACACCACTTCCGCCCATTCCATGTTTTATGTATGTACTGTTTTTTGTTGTAAGACGATATTCAATAATTCAGGTACGTCGGATTTAATAGCACTTTATTACGACTGAACGTTTCGCTTTATCGGCCTTCTTCGAGCCTCACGCACGGACAAAACGATATTTGAGGAACTACCGTCCCAACATATTCTAACCTCAAGAAGTCACCCAACAGGAACCATGAAAGCAAAATCGAAATCCGGAATCGAGGAGCAATGCTTCCGTTTTTGGAGGTTTTTTAGGTAAATTTTGCTGCAAAACCTCCATCGGTTTCGCCCTGTACTACGAATCGTTCGCTGACACGCGCCTTCGGTCAGGTTTTTTTGCCCGCCCCCCCCCCCCATCCCTCTTGGTTATTCAAAATGGAAAAAACATTAGGGCATGATGGGTGCTAGAGATCTCGTCGATGAGGATGGGTGAAGTCTCGTCGTAGGCGATAACTTCGACGCCTGAGGCGTGGATAGAAGCTAGCTGTGCTCAATAGAGAGTGTAATCCTAAATGAAATGTCTATGCGTTTGCCATTATAAGCTGTTTTACGACATTAATCGCTTCACTACGACATTTTCCGATGAGCAGCGAATGACTTTTTTGATCAAACATTACTGAAGTGACCTCTATGCTGTGCACTTTGGCTATCAGTTGCAAGGGAGCCACTTGAAACGAGTTTTCGACTCTTGAGGTACTCGACTGAACAAAAGTAAAAAATCGAGAG